ACAATCTAACGTTGGGCAGACAAGCTGTCCGATCACTGCTCGAGCCCATCCGGTCCAGCCAGCCAGACCTCAGGCTCTCTCACTCTCTCTCTCTCTTCTCTTTGCGTCTTTATCGGCTCCACGCCCCACCCCAACCCCTAGCTTCAGCACTGGGTGTGCCAGAGGCTCCCTACACCTCGTGTTTCCTGATTGGCCAGTTTGGCCGAATCGACGCCGTCAAAACTCTCCGCGACTGGTTTTCATTGAGAAGGTGAAAAATTCCCAAGTGGATGCTTGCTTATTCACAACATAAACAGATGAGGATAACGGAAATTCTAGTTAAGCATCTTGATTTAAAATGCATGACAAGGAAGAAGGATTTAGCAAAGAAGGTACTCACGTTTAGTGGCAGTAAATGGCGCAATCGTAAGTGTTTTGGAAACGCTTTTTTCTCCAAGTAACGTGTCTCTGAGTGGGGCCACAGTAGCCTCATATAACTTAGCTGATGATAGTGCTCCAAAGGTAGTAGCTGAAAAAGATTTATAAGACATCGACGTCTGAGTATAATAAGAATTATCCATAAATATAAAAGTAAACCGCTGAATGACATTATTACATAAAAGTTATTCTACGTTTTGCAATAGACTTAATAACTAAGCCATAAAGATAAGATTTCTATAAGGTTTCTCTAAAAAGATATATATCCGAGTTGGATAATCTTTGGCAAATTTTCAAGAATCTTCAACTAATATTGCTGCATAACTACTCAGTTTGGGCTTTTTAATGGCTGGGTGGTCACATGAATTCATACCTTATTAATTCCACTAATTAGTACTTCTTCTTGTGGCTTATGGTTTATTTTATTATCTTGTCTATGGGCCGAAAAATTATTCATATATCCTAAAATTACGACATAGTTGGTATTATAAAATATAGGAGTCCGATGCTTAAATTAATATGAATTAAAATACCTAAAAATACGCTTCTTTAATTTGTAAATTATAGAAGGATACTAAAAACTGTGCGCTTGATTGTTTTTAGGCAATTTATGTTAGTAAATCTTCCATAAATTCTCAAGAATGCTATGCGCATGAGATGGCAATATAAATCGACTCTATCGCTACACCAGATTTAGAAATAACTAGTCGAACGAATAAGAACTTCAAAATGGCACCATTGGCATCAAGGTTAGATTGTCGGTCTTTTCCCTTTATCATTTAAATGCAT